TGAGCGAAAACACTGTTCAAAATCCGGAAAAATACGCCCGCAAATTTTACGGGAGTTCCAGCATAAGTATGCTTGAACTCCCGTAAATTTTACGGGAGTTCCAGGATAACTATGCTGGAACTCCCGCAAATTTTACGGGAGTTCAAGCATACTTATGCTGGAACTCCCGCAAATTTTACGGGAGTTCCAGCAAGTATAATTGTCCAGTATAATATACTGGAGTTTGGAGCACTGGTGCTCCAGTCTCCCGCAAATTTTACAGGAGTTAGCAAAGTATACCGGTCCAGCATAATATGCTGGAGTTCGTACACAAATGCACCAGAACTCCCGTATATTATACTGGACCGGTCCCTGTTGCAGCAAAATAGTGGCTATTTTTCACTAACTTAATAAATGCTGGCTATTTTTCATTGACCAGTGTGAAAAGTGGCTATACCATGATATTTTAACAAGATTTACCTCCGCTCCACAATGGAAATCGTTTGATTTGTTATATTAGGGGAAAAAACATTATCCGTATGAAATACTACTACCTTATTAATACGATGTTCGATTTTTGCAATATTAATTAAACGAACATTTATAGAAAAAGATTTAGTTTTAGTTTTCATGCTAAGATACTTGTCATTTAGAAAATCAAAAAAAAATAACGTTTTTCACATTTACGCTTACTCCAATTGTGAAGAGAGATTAATATAATAATGTAAGAACAATAATAATTAAAATCAAAGAATAAATAAGAACAATTTAGTTAAATATATTTTTAAATTAATACTTTATAAAAGACATGTAAAAACCAAACATGACAAGTAAAAGAGACCAAAGGGAGACCTATGTTACTTACACTAAAAGTTATGCATTAGATAAGATTTATGATCACGCCCAACTATGCCTTATAAAAAGGATTAAGCAGTCGTTGCAAATATAATCCGGTTACAAGTCCGGAGTCGAATCCCACAGATAACTAAGGCTTAGCTATAGTTGTTCAGTATCGCTAAGAAACACAAGTTCAAATAATTTTCTAATTATAAATAGTGCGATTCTTATTTTAAACTAATTAACTAGAAACTATTAAAAGCAGTAAAATTCTTAACTAAGGAGACTATGTGTTGGAGACAAGACTAAGGAGGTCTAGAGTTATGATTTCTCTAATTGCCAGAATCCTTTCCGCTAAGTCTTCTATAATTTCGCATATGTATTCTCTATCGATCGTGCGTAATTTGGGTGTAGTAGCTCTCTCTCTCTCTCTCTCTCGAGCAACTACCACAATTTACTAGACGTATTTTCTCGAACTACGCTAGCAGGCACTAATTCACCGCTCACTACGATCGTACCAAGATTTCGTTATCTTTAATCCCGCCTTTTAACCCTCTGTATTGATCTCTCACATCTTTAAGAGTGATGTTGTTCAACAACTACCTAAATATGTACTCTCTCTCTCTCTAGCAGTACACACTAAATAAGCACAGTCAATTGATGGACATTCAATCAACAGCAACAAACACGTAGTTGAACAAGTAGATAAATCCAGCGGCTTAATTATATAAAAACATAACAAGAATTTATCCTACAAAAAGTTCCATCAAAACCCTAGATAACAAATTAGCTATTCATAATAGTATGCATAACTACAATACTAGAATTCATAACCAATAATGGAAATAGGAAGAAGGAAGTGAAAAACTCGTAGAAGAACTCTCCGCCTTGCCCCTAGTGTGTTCTTGCCTCCTTAGGTCGAATCCCCCTTCAAAAACAGCGTTTAATGATTATTTATATGTGTAGGAAAAAAACCTAGACGAAATAACCAAATCCAAAACAAACAAAAAAAAAAGACAAAATAGGCTTTAAAATCCGGAACACGCGAACACCTCGCGACTGGCCTCGCGGTGCCTGCTCTAACGCGAGCAAATTGGCTCGCGTCGCCTGCTGCTTTCCAGCTTCGTTTCTCAAATTTTGATTCTTATGCCCAACTTTCTAGTTCCTTTCCTTTGCTTTTGAGTTGTTCCCAACGTCACTTGCTCACTTGGATCATTCAAAATTTTTGTTTTCAATCATCACTGACATCATAATATTTTCCATTATCAAATAATCACGAGCCATTCTTGTAGTGCATAAAATACACATAAAATTTTTATTTTGCTCCCAATTTCGTCTTCAACGTACCGACATATAAAATAGACTCAATTAAGCACAAATATACTATAGTTTAGCATTAAACACCTAAATGAAAGGTAAGTAATACACTACAAATATGGAATTATAGCCAACCACTACTAGAATTCCTGCAAAAAGCGACCAAACTTTAGCGACCAAAGTTGGTCTGTCAAGAAAAGCGACCAAGGTTGGTCGCTAAACTGGTGAAAATAATAAAATAATAATTTTAAATAAATTAGCGACCAACATTGGTCGCAACTTGGTCGAAAATTTTGTCAAACTGTTGATCGGACTGGTTAGACTTGCTTGGTCGAAGAATTACTCAGATTAACGACCAACGTTGGTCGCTTCATGGGACCCACTTATTAAATTTTAATAATTATAATATTATTTTAAAAAAACTATAAAATATATATAAATAAAATTTAAAATTAGCGGCCAAAGTTGGTCGCTACATAAAGAGTAAACAGATGGAGACCAACTTTGGTCGCTAATTTGGGACCCAGTTATAATTTGTTTAAAAAAAATTATAAAATATAAATAAATATAATTTAACTTTAGCGACCAATGTTGGTCGCTCAGTAGAATATAGACCAACTTTGGTCGCTAACCTGGGACCCAGTTAATATTTTAAATATTATATGAAAGATAAATAAATCTGATTTAAATTTAGCGTCCAACTTGGGTCGCTAATTTAAAATTATGTATATTTAGCGACCAAAGTTGGTCGTGTGACGACTCGGACGGTCGTCTTAAGAATTAACGCCCTGATCCCCCATTAACTGCTTCCCCTAAGTTCATTTCTGCCATTTTGGTTTGCCGGGACATTCGGTGTTGAGTTTCGAAGAGTTTTGGGACACTTAGTCCCTAATGAGAGCTTAAGTGTTGAAAAATGGTCCGTAGTCGGAACCGTGTGAAGACGACCTCGGAATGGAAATTCGATGGTTCCGTTAGCTCCGTTAGGCGATTTCGGGGTTGGGAGCATGTTCGGAATGTATTTTGGAAGTCCGTAGCTCATTTAGGCTTGAAATGCCGAAGTTTGAATTTTGGAAGTTTCCGGTCCGATAGTTAGTTTTTGATCAGAGGGTCGGATTGGAATTCCGGAAGTTGCAATAGCTCCGTCATGTCATTTGGGATGTGTGTGCAAAATTTCAGGTCATTCGGATGTGTTTTGGTTAGGTTTTTGATCGAAAGTATATTTTGATAAAATTGGAAGTTCTTAGGCTCAAATCCTTGTTTAATTCGAGTTTCCGGCGTTGTTTTAGGTGGTTTAAGGATTGGTACAAGTTTGAATGAGGTATTAGGTGTTATTTGTGCTTTTGGTTGAGGCCCCAGGGGCCTCGGGATGATTTCGGGTGGTTAACGGCAAAATTTGAGAAGTGTTGCAGCAGCTGAAGTATTTCCCTTTTGGTATTTTCGCTTCTGCGGCTTGGGAACCGCAGAGGCGGCCTTAGCATCGCAGAAGTGGGTTTGGACATAGTTTTCAAGCTCCGCAGATGCGGAGGAAATCCCGCAGAAGCAAACTTGCATCTGCGAGAAAGGAACCGCAGAAGCAGAATCTTGGATTTTCATCAGAACCGCAGAAACGGCTTAAATTCTGCAGAAGCGGTTATTGGTCCGCAGAAGCGGATATTGGATCATTAGTGAAAGTCGCAGAAGCGACTCATTTTCGCACAAGCGGAAATCCCTGAGCAAATATAGAAATTTCGAGGGTTAGTTTTCATAAGTTAGAAAAATCAAATTGAGCTCGGGGAAGGGCGATTTTTAGAGGGTTTTGAACAGAAGACTATTGGGTAACGTTTCTTTAATCCCTTCTAGTTATATTTCATCATTTTATAGTTAAAT